TAAAAATTATAAAAATAAAAATAATTTTTATCCTGGAAACCCTTGTAAAAATATTTTCAAAAGTCTACGATATTGCCTTCATAGATCCCCGAGGCGATGCTTGAAAAAAATTCACATGAATTCCTTTTTTTTTCAAAAAAAAAAACCTTGTAAAAATATTTTCAAAAGTCTACGATTTAAACATAGCCAATATTTTCTTCATAGATCCCCGAGGCGATGCTTGAAAAAAATTAAAATCCACATGAATTCCTTTCTTATTTTTCAAACAAAAGCCGTGAGTTTTTTTCTCAGGGGTCCTTAAAAAATTCACCGGGCGATACTTAAAAAAAATTGAAATCCACAAAATTTTTGTATGGATCTCCTTTAAAAAATATTTTAAATAAAAAATCAGTTTTTACATAGACTAACCATTTTTTCTATAAAAAAACTGCCCTTCGTTTACTGAGATCTTTTTCTTTGGAAAAAATATATTAACATTTCTTGCTACAAAAAAAAAAAAAAATTAAAAACTCAGTCCAGATGAGGCTGACATATGTCGAGAAATTTTAATTTTTACGTAGAGTAACTATTGCCAATTTTTATATATACAAATCATTTCTGAGTAATAGAAAATGTTTTCTATGTCCTTAGGTTACTGATATTTTTTTTCTATGGAAAAAACTTTATTTATTTATTTTATTGGATGAAATTGTAGTTTGTTTCTTAAGTCTTTCGTGTTTTCATATTTTTCTTGAAATATTTGGGATATATTTGAAATTTCGTTCTTTACAATAAATCTCTCCTTATTCTAGTGAGAAATTATGTCCTGATAGTTGCTTAAAATAAATGAAATAAAAAATAATTTCTAGGGAATTTTGTCAATTGGTATTTACTTTTTTGCTTTATTATACCCTAAGCCATATGGCTACAGAGGGTATATATCAGTTAATACGGCCAAAACGTGCCTAGTCGAAATAACGGTTTTTACGGAAATGAATCTCAGAATATTCTCTGCAGATTTTTTAAGTCCATTAAGGATAGATATTTTTTCAAAAGAAAAACACTGTCTTTTGCACTAACATTTCTGTTTGCTTAAGAAATATCTTAGTTGTGGAGAAGCTAATCGTTTTCCTATAAGCAAACCTCACTTTTGGATACTGACCTTTTTTGGATTTTTTTGGCACCGCGAGTATTTTTTTTTTTTTTTTTTTTGAAAAATTCCGTCCTCTTGGAAGCAGCTTAAAAAAATTAAAATCTCTCATAGTGCTTTTATAGTGTAAAGTTCGTTTCCTAAGTCTTTTGTTGTATTTATTTTTTACTTTAAGGGTGTGAGAACCGTGGCTCTCAATTTAAAACACACGCTCATTGAGTTGTGGAATAGTCTCTCATTTATTCATGATATTCCTTTTTTTTCTTATTAAATCAAATTTGTGACCACATTCTCTCTCCTTTCACTCTCAATACCACCTTGTGTCCATTATTTGGGGTTTGTGTCTTAAGTCTTTCTATCACATGTGAGGCCATGTGAGAGTTTGAGAGAGCAACATACTCTTTTGTTCATGGCACAACGTTTGTTTCCTAAGTCTTTTGTTCTTTTGGGTTAGTTTTGTTTACCTTTGTGAGGGAGAGTAATAAAACGGTATAGGAACTCTCTCAAGAGCTCAAACAAATGTGTGTGGGTGTCATTTTTCTCCATGGCTGGGGGTTTAAAGTTTGTTTCTTAAGTCTTTTGTTCTTTTGGGACTATTTTTATTTACCTTTGTGAGTGAGAGTAATAAAACGGTGTAGCTCTTGAGAGAGAGCTCAAACAAATGTGTGTGGAAGTAATGTTTCTCCATGGTTGGGGGTTTAAAGTTTGTTTCTTAAGTCTTTAGTTTATTTCCTTTAAAAATGATGGGATTCTTTATTTGAAAATTTATTTCAAAAGAAATATTTTTTTTTATTTAAAAAAATACTATTTTTTTTAATAAAATTAAATTTTTCTGAATAAATATTTAACTTTATTTAATAAAATTCTATGTTTTATTAAATAAACTGTAATTTTTATCGACTTCCCAAGTTGTTTACCTACCTTGCCTTGTAATGCATTTGCTCTTGCACTCAATATTTATAGATGGCTTGCTGACTGGCTGGCTGACTGCTACTGTTGACACATATTCCACCAACAAAAAACCAGCTATTTACTTGACAAACATTTAACAGGCGACACAAATAGTTCGGTGCTTAATTGGCAATCCTGTTTGTTGTTATTGATACTTTTCAAGAGGAACCACAAATGTAATCTTTTAAAAATAGCCTGGGTTTTTTAAAATAATATTTACTTGACAAACATTCAACTGACGACACAAATAGTTCGGTGCTTTATTGGCAATCCTGTTTGTTGTTATTGATACTTTTCAAGAGGAACCACAAATGTAATCTTTTAAAAATAGCCTGAGTTTTTTTTTTTAATAATTTTTTGTAACTCTTCCGAAGAACTGTGTGCCCGCGAGAGAGAGCCACGTTTTAGACTTTGCCCCGATTGTCTTGTCACAAATTCACAACGATTCTGGTTTAGATGCCACTTAAATCATGTTTTTTATGAATACTTTTACTGTTCAAAAACAACTCACCCATAGAAATGCCGGCTGGTCTTTGCCATAGGCCTATGTTGTTGCAAAAAAAAAAAAAAAAAACTATTTGTTTTTAGGCTGTTTAGAGCAGGTTTTTCGTTTTTCTTCTTCAGTTAGAGTATTTGTCACTTGCATGGACTTTTATCCGCATGCATGCTATGCAATTTCACAGACACATGTTATCTTCACACACACACACACATGCACAATTACAACTGCCTTGGGGAATCCACGAAATGATGTTGCAACACGTTTTCAAGTCTTTGGCTTTTGCCAGTGGTCGTTTGGTATGGTTGGTAGGTTGGCTGGATGGCTGATTGTTTGTTTGGTTTGCTGGTTGCTTGCTTTACCACAACTATTGTGGTTTGGTTTGCAATCTTTTGTTGTAATTCGAAAATTAGGTCAAGCGTTGAGAGTTGGATTTGCTGTTGTTGTTATTTTTATTATTGTTTATTATTAGGTTTTTGGGGAATTTTTTTTTTCGGTGATCAATAAGAATTGAAAAACGAAAAGATAATAAATTTTCTATAGAAAAAAGTTCACCAATGAATTTTTTCTATAGAAAAAAGTTCACCAATGAAGTTTTTTCTATAGAAAAAAGTTCACCAACGACGTTTTTCTATAGAAAAAAGTTCACCAACGAACATTTTTCTATAGAAAAAAGTTCACCAACGAACATTTTTCTATAGAAAAAAGTTCACCAATGAATTTTTTCTATAGAAAAAAGTTCACCAATGAATTTTTTCTATAGAAAAAAGTTCACCAATGAATTTTTTCTATAGAAAAAAGTTCACCAATGAATTTTTTCTATAGAAAAAAGTTCACCAATGAATTTTTTCTATAGAAAAAAGTTCACCAATGAGTTTTTTCTATAGAAAACTGTTCACCAAAAAAATAGTTCACCAATGAATTTTTTTCTATAGAAAAAAAGTTCACCAACGATTTTTTGCTATAGAAAAATGTTCACCAACGATATTTTGCTATAGAAAAAAGTTCACCAACGACGTTTTTCTATAGAAAAAAGTTCACCAACGACGTTTTTCTATAGAAAAAAGTTCACCAACGACGTTTTTCTATAGAAAAAAGTTCACCAACGACGTTTTTCTATAGAAAAAAGTTCACCAACGACGTTTTTCTATAGAAAAAAGTTCACCAACGACGTTTTTCTATAGAAAAAAGTTCACCAACGATTTTTTTCTATAGAAAAAAGTTCACCAACGATTTTTTTCTATAGAAAAAAGTTCACCAACGACGTTTTTCTATAGGAAAAACTTCACCAACGACGTTTTTCTACAGAAAAAACTTCACCAACGACGTTTTTCTATAGAAAAATGTTCACCAATGAACTTTTTCTATAGAAAAATGTTCACCAATGAACTTTTTCTATAGAAAAATGTTCACCAATGAACTTTTTCTATAGAAAAAAGTTCACCAACGAAATTTTTTCAAAGCAAAATTTTCACCAACGAATTTTTTTCTACAGAAAAAATTTCACCAATGAGTTGTTGCCATAGAAAAATATTCGCCAATTTTTTTATAGAAAAAACTTCAACAATGATTTTTTTATAGAAAACAACATATATTCTGATGGAGAATTTCATGTCTGGGGGCTGAGAATTTTTTCTATAAAGTGTTATAAAGTTTAGTTAATTTTTATTTATTTGTTTATAAATTAATTTGTTCTTTTTTAATTTATTTATGTATAATTTATTTATCTTTTATTATATATATGTTGTTATTTTTTATTATTAAATGTTTTATTTTTTTATTTTTATTTTTTTTTGTTTCTTCTTTTGTCTCTAATTATATTATTTCCGTATTTTTTCTTTCAATATTTTCAATTCATAGTTTTTTATTATTTCTTTTTTTAAATATTTTTTCCCATTAACACAAAAAAAAACAAAATATGTACCACAACTAATTTTCCAAATCTGTCACGTTTTCTCGTCGACAATCGTTCGAAACGACAACGATCAGTTTCAAGTTTTCGTTTTGTTCTTCAAAACCCGTGCTCTCCTTGTGCCGTTCCGTTTAAAACTGTTTTAGGCCAAATCGGCGTGATGCTTTTGCGCACCAAAGCCAAGCTAACCTACCTCAATGTTAGCCAAATAACCATATATAGTTGGAGGTATGATCGAACATGTTTGATGTTGCATAGTTTTTAAAGGTTGTAAAAGATATTGTTGTTTTACAATTTTTTTTATTAAACATTTCTTATGGGTTTTCATAAATAAATGTGAGTACTTTTGTTTGGTTATAATTTTTTGGCGCTATTTCTTAAGAGTTCGATGGAAATATATTTTTATGTGTTTGTGTGTGTGTGAATTTTTCTTCTCGAAGTTTAATAAAATTTTTTTATTTTCAGGTAAATTGTTGTTATCAGAGATGGTCCGAATGGGAAAATTTTAGGTTTTCGACTGTAACAAAGTTGTAAACGTCGAAAACGTCATAAAGCTGTATAAAAAGTATGAAATGTATTTAACGTCATAAACCTGAAAAATGCTGTGTTATAATCATTATTATGGTCAATTTCTCAAGCTCTTGTTACTAAAACGATTCAGTAAGTTTTTATACATAATTTACTTTGTTAAAAATTATTTAAAATAATTGGAAAACTTTGATATATTGCTGATAGTACCCACGATACTATATAATCACAACTTATATAATATGAACACATGTAAGATTCTCAAAATTTAGACTTTTATAAAATCTACTTTTTGTGATCTTGATGTTTTTTATATAAAACATTTAAATTTAATTAAAGGAATCATAAAATATACAAAATACATAGCACGCCATCTATAAAATGTCGCGTATACTGCTTGATGTGTTTTTCATTGCATTTGTGCATGTTGACAAATTGAACTGACATATGTCAACCAAAAAACGCCAAAAACAAATTAGTTTGAGCGGGAGATAAAACTACTTTTCAACAATTACAAAAATTTTATATATTTAAAAATGTTAAAAAGTCCGAGTGATGAACAACAACCAGAGGGGTTTGGACAAAGTTCTGGAGCAACCGGTGGTAGGCCCCTTCATCCATATTGGTACGGATATACAAAAATAAGTGAACGAGGAAAAGCTATTGCCCAGTGCAATAGGTGCAAGCAATTAATCCGCAACACGGCTATTAACAGAATGCAGTCACATCGGTAAGTACTCAATATTAATATTAACACAACGATTATTTATAAATGCGTTTTTGGATTTTTAGGAAAAAATGCAATGTTGAACAGATTGACGAGGACAACGGAAGTGATTTACTTGAAGCGGGTATATCCCAAAAAAATGTAAGCATGAATTCGTTTTCAATTTACATGTATTAAAATATCACTATTACTTTCAGTTGTCATGTACACAGACATCAAATACTCAAACTACTATTAAGGATTTTTTTCGTAAAATCAACAAGAAAGACAAAGCTCAACTCGACATTCGTACTGCCAGATTTTTTTTCGCTTGTAACATTCCTTTTGTTGCAGCAGGTAATCAATTCTTCAAAGATTTTTGCAAAGGAATGCAACCATCGTACAAACCACCAAGCAGAAAAAGGATAGCTGGACCACTATTGGATGCAGTGCATAAGGAGCAAATCGATTTGAATGCGAAATTTTTAAAAGAAGGTACATATTCCGTACTTCTTATTGACGGATGGAAAAATTCAGCATCAAACACAAAAAATGTCGCAGCATTACTGCACAACTGTGATCACAGAATTTTTTTGGAATCTTACGACTTTTCATACATGAGAGAAACTTCAGAAAATCTCACTGAAATGGTGAAGAAAGCTGCCAGTTTAGCCAAAGATCGATACAAAGTTGAAGTTTTCGCTGTAGTCACAGATAATGCTGCCAATATGGTATCAATGGGCCGGAATGTTGGGCTGATTCATACAACGTGTAATGCCCACATCGGCAATTTGCTATCCAAAGATATCATCAAGAATTTTGGTATTCGTTTCGAGTTAAATTATCTTTGTGCGACTGGGAATAGCCAGAGGCGATCTACGCGGCTACAGTCTCAACAAAACGATGATGTATTCGGTATGTTGGAGGACGAAGTTACTGAAAACTCTTCAATACTTGGAAAAGTACATAAAATTCTTAATGAATTTAAAAAAGTACATATTGAAAGAAAGTTGTCAATGCTTGGAGGAACCAAAGCGAAGTTACCATGTGCAACAAGATGGTGCAGTGAGCGTGATGGACTTTTTTGGTTGATAAACAACATTTCCAAAATGAAGCAAATATCTGCAGAAACTAACACTGATGGAAAACCCTTGGTCAAATCCTATATAAGTGAGCTGCTCTATAAGGAGGACTTTATTCAATCCGTTAAGGAACTATTTGATCTTTTGAATCCTGTAGCTTTACTTATAAAAAACTGTCAAAAGTCTGAGTATTCTATAGCTGATGCAACAGAAGAATGGATAAAATTGCTTACTACGGCAAAACCAGAATTATATGAAGTGGCGGCAGAAAGATGTAGAATCAGTAAAGTCTTTAATAAATATAACCTGGCAGCAAATGTTTTGCATCCGCTATATAAGGGTGGAAGGCTGAACCCAGAGCAAATGCAAAAAGTTGAAGACTTTTTACTGGAAAATCTTGATGAACATGGATTACAATCATTTTCAGAATACAAAAATGCGGCAGGATTTTTTGCCTTACTTTTGGAAAAAACATCCAAACCTGGGCTATTCTGGGAATTGGCTGCAAATAGACACAAATCATTAGCGACATTTGCACAAAAATTGCTCATGATACCAGCTTCAACAGCTCAGCTGGAGGGTATTTTTTCAAATTGGACACATGTTCATACCGATTTGAGGAACAGATTAGACTCAGAACGTTCTAAGAAATTGTTAGAAGTTTATTTTTCTTTAAGAATAAATGAAACAAAAGACGTCTCGCAGTATATAGAGGATACTGATTCCAGCGAAAACGAAAATTAAACGAAACAAATTACAAAATAATTTGTAATAACAGTATGTACCTGCTTAGAGGCCTTTGATTTTAAATGTAATTTAAATGAATTATTTAAGTTTGTTATGTTTTTATATTATCTGTTTAATAAAACAAATATTTTAAAGAAAAACTGAATTGGATTTTAAGAGACAAATGTGTTTTTTATTTCGTTCCTATTTTTGTCAAAAACCTTGTTTTATCGGGTAGGTTTACGACTTTTCCGACGTATGTAATATACGTCGGAAATGTATGTCAGATACGTCATAATTTCCGACGGGCCATCTATGGTTGTTATCAAATTGTTGATTGAAAAATATGAATGTAAGGTAAGCTAACTTTACTTTGAAAAAAAAGTTCACCAATGATTTTTTTCAATCATCACCAATAAAATTTTTCAATAAAAAAATTTTTAATAAAATTTTTTTTTATGGAAAAAATTTCACCAATAAATATTCACATTTATATATTTTTTTTAAATATTAAATTACACTTAAAATTATTTCTTATCGGATTTCTGAATTTTGCTGAATTTTAATTTTTACATTTTTGTTTTTGGGTTTGGCTCGATGTTGAAAGAAGATTTCATCTGCTCGTTTGAATGTGGGCTAGGCTTATCTTTGCATCGTGACGTTAAAATAATGTTAACATTTGCAATGATAGTTGGGTGATAGAGCATAGCGTGTCTATGTGCCCCCTCCTCTCCAAACATTTGGCAACTTGCCAGCGTAAGGTGTTGCTGCTGCAGCTTTGTGTAATGAATATTTGTTATGGTTTTACCAACTTTACAGCTTCATCCAAGCGAAAGCGTTATTCAACAATTCTCAAGATTAAGACGAGGCTATGGCTGAAGTCCGCCGTTGGGTTAAGTGATAAATTAAGCGTTTTGTGTTTTTTAAATGGCGAGGAGATTTTAATGCAAACGGTTAGCAGATGATGTAGTCATAAATGGTCTTTGTAAATGAGGCAGACCAAAGATTTTTTTTTTGCGAAAAAAAAATTCATCAACGCAAGTTTTTCAAAGAAAAATCTTTACCAATGGAAATTTTTCTATAAAAAATGAAATGGAAAATTTTTCACCTACGATATTTTTCTATAGAAAAAAGTTCACCAATGAAGTTTTTCTATAGAAAATTGTTCACCAACGAACTTTTTCTATCGAAAAAATTTCACCAACGAACTTTTTCTATCGAAAAAATTTCACCAACAAACTTTTTCTATCGAAAAAATTTCACCAACGAATTTTTTTCTATAGAAAAAAGTTCACCAACGAATTTTTTTCTATGGAAAAAAGTTCACCAACGAAATTTTTTTCTATAGGAAAAAAGTTCACCAACGAAATTTTTTCTTCTATGGAAAAAAAAGTTCACCAACGAAATTTTTTCTTCTATGGAAAAAAAAGTTCACCAACGAAATTTTTTCTTCTATGGAAAAAAAAGTTCACCAACGAAATTTTTTCTTCTATGGAAAAAAAAGTTCACCAACGAAATTTTTTCTAATAAAAAATCACCAATGAATTTTTTTTTTCTATGGAAAAAAAAATCACCAATGAATTTTTTTTTTCTATGGAAAAAAAATCACCAATGAATTTTTTTTCTATGGAAAAAAAAATCACCAATGAATTTTTTTTCTATGGAAAAAAAAATCACCAATGAATTTTTTTTCTATGGAAAAAAAAAAATCACCAATGAATTTTTTTTCTATGGAAAAAATTTTACCAATGAATTTTTTCAATGGAAAAAATTTGCCCACCCTGAAGTGTAGCTACCAATAATGCCAGACAAAAATCCAGATGCTTTTTAATTTTCACTTGGCTGCTCATTCATTTTGACAGTTTTCTTTTTTTTATTTTTTATTTTTTTTTTTGTCATAATAAATTTATTTGAATGCACCTAAAGAAAAAATGAGTGCACTTCACTGCCTCCAGTTGGTCTTGTTAATGTCTGAACATTTTATCTTCATATCTTGTGGAGGAAAAAAAAATCAAAATTATAGACCATTAAAAAGGCAGAGATGAGGGGAGAAAAATATGAATTGGGGAAATTGTTATGATTTGATAATTGCAAAGTTTATTTATTTTTGTTTTTTTTTGCATCCATCCCCCTCATCATGGACATAAGGCCTCTGTGAATGTAATTTAATTTATTCACTTGGAACTGATGCGATTATTCAACAATGTTTGATCGGCCATAGAAAAAAATGAAATCAAGATATCCGGTATGGGTGGAGAGTGAGTTTGCAATGAATGTAAACGGCACTTATTTGTGTGAGTGGTGTGGGGGGTTTTTTCAACATTTTTTTTCTCTCAAATATTTTTTGAACGCATAATTTAATTTATTTTTAGATGAAATAATTGCTGGTCATTTATGGTCCATTGATATGATTTTTGTAAAGAGAGATTTATTTATTTTTTTTTAATTGACTGTCAAAATTTTTTAATTGACTGTCAATTTCAATAGAGAGAATATATCAATTAATGAGTTGAAATGTGTAATAACAACCGGCAAGATAAAATATACAATTTTTGAAAATATCAGATTTTGATTTGCATTCAAGTCAGTGGACCAGCCTGAAAAATTCCTCCCAAAATCACTTCACTTTTATCTGACCCTTTCCATTGAAAGTTCAAATACCGAAAACAAACCCAAACCAAATACCGTAAACAAACTGAGCAGTTCACATCACATCTCTCGAACCGGTTGCGGCAAATGAACGACCTTGTCTTGTAAAAAAATCGAATTAATTTATGTAAACGAAAGCAAAATGTGAGTGTTATCGATAGTGCGTGTTTTCGACCGTTTTATTTTTACAGGTTTTCAGTTCAAGGGCATTACAATTTGACCAAACCAAAATGCATAAAGAATCCCACAATAAAAGACAGAGAGAGAAATAATATGTAAAATGTAATAAAATCACGTTCAATTATTGTGACGACATGGTCAACAGATTTTCAAACAAAAGACTTAAGACACAAGCACTGGAGGAGTAGAAATAAATATTTAAAGATTTTTCTATAGAAAATCTTCATTGGTGAAGATTTTTTCTATAGAAAAAAAATCATTGGTGAAGATTTTTTCTATAGAAAAAAATTCATTGGCGAAGATTTTTTCTATAGAAAAAAATTCATTGGCGAAGATTTTTTCTATAGAAAAAAATTCATTGGCGAAGATTTTTTCTATAGAAAAAAATTCGTTGGTGAATTTTTTTTCCATAGAAAAAATTCGTTGGTGAATTTTTTTTCCATAGAAAAAATTCGTTGGTGAATTTTTTTTCCATAGAAAAAATTCGTTGGTGATTTTTTTTTCCATAGAACAAATTCGTTGTTGAATTTTTTTTCTACAGAAAAAAATTCATTGGTGAACTTTTTTTCTACAGAAAAAAATTCATTGGTGAACTTTTTTTTCTATAGAAAAAATTCATTGGTGAAGATTTTTTCTATAGAAAAAAATTCATTGGTGAACTCTTTTTTTCTATAGAAAAAAATTCATTGGTGAACTTTTTTCTCTATAGAAAAAAAATCGTTGGTGAACTTTTTTCTCTACAGAAAAAAAATCGTTGGTGAAACTTTTTTCTCTATAGAAAAAAAATCGTTGGTGAAACTTTTTTATCTATAGAAAAAAAATCGTTGGTGAAACTTTTTTCTCTATAGAAAAAAAATCATTGGTGAACTTTTTTCCTATAGAAAAAAATTCAATGGTGAACTTTTTTCCTATAGAAAAAAATCATTGGTGAAGATTTTTCTATAGAAAAAAATCATTGGTGAAGATTTTTCTATAGAAAAAAATTCATTGGTGAACTTTTTTCTATAGAAAAAAAAATCGATGGTGAACTCTTTTTTTCTATAGAAAAAAATTCGATGGTGAACTCTTTTTTTCCATAGAAAAAAATTCATTGGTGAACTTTTTTTCTATAGAAAAAAATTCATTGGTGAACTTTTTTTCTATAGAAAAAAATTCATTGGTGAACTTTTTTTCTATAGAAAAAAATTCATTGGTGAACTTTTTTTCTATAGAAAAAAATTCATTGGTGAACTTTTTTTCTATAGAAAAAAATTCATTGGTGAACTTTTTTTCTATAGAAAAAAATTCATTGGTGAACTTTTTTTCCTATAGAAAAAAATTCATTTGTGAACTTTTTTCTCTATAGAAAAAAATTCATTGGTGAAAATTTTTTCTATAGAAAAAAATCCATTGGTGAAAATTTTTCTATAGAAAAAAAATCATTGGTGAAGATTTTTCTATAGAAAAAAATTCATTGGTGAACTTTTTTCTATAGAAAAAAATTCGTTGGTGGACTTTTTTTCTATAGAAAAAAAATCATTGGTAAAGATTTTTCTATAGAAAAAAATTCATTGGTGAACTTTTTTCCTGTAGAAAAAAAAAATCATTAGTGAACTTTTTTCCTATAGAAAAAAATTCATTTGTGAACTTTTTTCTATAGAAAAAAATTCATTGGTAAATTTTTTTGTAGTCCCCCCCCAATGACTTCCCACTTATCTTAACTCTGAGAAAATCTAGATACCCAGCCAAATGAATTGCAACATCTTGCCTCAAATCAAATGGCTTCACATGGCCACTTCACTTCTTGGCATGTCAATATTTCATTCAACTCGGTTTGATGGCTATTTATCTATTGTGTTAGATCGAACCTGTTAAAACCCATGAGGGGAGGTGTGTGTGAGTGCAAGTCAAGCCACTGGGCTTTGAACGATTTACGCACGTAGACCCATGGGGCGAGCCATGCTGTGATGTTGTTTTTGTTTCTGTTGGTCATTAACATTTTGACATCATCAGACCAGCCAGCCAACAATGCACTCCGTTGGTGTTTGGTTGGTGTGTCTTGTTGTTGGGCCACATCACCGGCCATTCTTTTGGGCGATTGGTATTCAGTTAGAGTATCCCCCGGTTTATTTGGCAGGTGGTTTGGCATATCAGTCAGTCAGTCTTTTTTTCAGTTTGTTGTGCTACTCCCGTTAATATGTGTCAAGGTCACTTGACTTTCGGGCCAACCAACCGGACAGTGTGTGTGTGTGCGTGCGTGCGTGTTTGATGAGCAAGTTATGTTGTAATCACTGCAGTCATGGTATTTTATTTACATCTTTAAGGTTTGAATTCGGTTTGGGCATTTTAGGTTCCATTGACGGTTGCCTGATCGATAGGTGTTAATAGAATTAATTTGCAAAATTTTGAAAACGAATAGCGAAGTTGTTTGCTCTGTAATTAGTATTAGAAACTACTTTGTTGATGTTAATTGATATGACATTGAAAAAGGCAAAA